CACACACACACACACACACACACACACACACACACACACACACACACACACACACACACACACACACACACACACACACACACACACACACACACACACACAGACACACCTGCCAGGACTCCAGATGTTTGTCACACGTGCTGGGCTTTCGTCTTCCCCCCCGCCCCCACCTCCCATACTCCGGATGCTTCGATAAGCCCCCCCCCGGTGCTAACCTGTCCGACGCCCCTTGCCCGCCCCCCCCCCGCGCGCCCCAAACCCACCCCTCTCGCTCCCCAACCTCCCCACGCCCCCCCGAAGGGACAGCGGTCTCCTCCCCCCCACGCGATCCACCCCCCCCCACGCTTATTGAGAGGCCTGGGGTATACTTCCCCATATCTTCCGGGGGGTCGACGGTGGTTTGTGTCTGTGCTTTTTCCCCTCCGGATCCTTCGCAGAGTCCGCCCCAGGGGGTGGGGCGAGGGGGGGGCAGGGAGGCGGCCCGCCAAGGGGGGGAGCGGGAGGGAGGGGCTCTCCTGACAGGGGCCCGGAGGCCTCCTCGAGGGCCACGAGGTGTCGTCGTCGTCGTCGTCGTTTTCCTCCTCCTCCTCCTCCTCCTCCTCCTCCTCCTCCTCCTCCTCCTCCTCCTCCTCCCCCTCCCCCTCCCCCTCCTCCCTGTCCTGATAGAGCACCTCGTGCCCTCCCAGAAGGCTGCCCCTTTCGCGCCAGCCCCCTCGCACCACTCCGAGGCGCGCGGCGAGCTGGCGCAGCCACGCCTCGAAGTGCAAGCATCGGATCGGAACACCGGGATCGAATCGCATCAAGCCTGCCGAAATCGGTATCGGCTCGGATCGATCGGATCAGCATGGACCCTGCCGTGGTCGTCGTCGGGGTCGTGGTCGTCGTGGTGGTAGTCGTCGTCGTCGTCGTCGTCGTCGTCGTCGTCGTCGTCGTCGTCGTGTCGTGGCCGCGCAACGCCTCGAGCTGCAGGCGAAGACCATTGCGCTCATCGTGATGTCGGAGTTCTCGGCTCGGAGGCAAGACACCACCTCTCGGGCGCTCGCGCGGGCGCGCCGGGACGGGAACGAAGAGCGAAAGGAAGTCAACCGCAGGAGCAGGACAAAGAGACGAGGAGGAGCAGGAGGAGGAGGAGCGCAGGCATCGCCTTCGGACGAGGACCACTCTGAAGAGGCCCTGGGACACACAAATAAATACACACAAATAAAAAGATCCCCCCTCTTTTCCCATATTTTCTGTGTTTGTGTCTTCCCCCCCACTTCCCATAATTTTCCCATCTTTTCTGGGGAGTCGACGATTCATTGTGTCTGTGTGTTTTTTCCCTCCTGATACTCTGATGTTACCAAGGGCTCGAGGGCACTCGAGTCGTGCCTTCTATTGTTCCGCGGGCGCTCCCCGCACACCTGGGGGCGCACGTGGGGCCCCCAAAAAGAGGGCTTCGGTTCGAAGCGGAAGTTCCCGATGGCAAACACGTGAGCAGTCGGACTCGGACTCGAAGGCTTCCCTCGTACGCGTGCGCTCTCAACGACCCATAGGGGAATAAAAAGTGGCGTAAACATAAACACTCGGAGGTCCGCGCGGATTTCTCGGATCGGCGCTGGACCCCCCTCCCTGGCGCGCGGAACGCGCCAGGGGCGGCGCCGGAGGCGCCGCCGGGGGGCCCCAGCGCCGATCCGAGAAATCCGCGCGGACCTCAGAGTTTTTATGTTTATGTCATTGTTCGTTTCCCTAACCCATGCCTCACACACATCCAGCCGGCAAAAACCTCACACACAGCGTAGCACGGGCCGCGCGGCATGGCAAGTGAGAGGGATGTGGCTCCCAGTGCTATAGCATCAGAGGGATACAAATCCGCAGAAGAGAGGGGGGAGCGGAAGGGAAGCGAAAAAGGCAGAGAACTAACGAACAACATGCAAGGCAACATGAGAACCTGAATTCGGGACGGTTTAACTGGGCATTATAATCGGCATGATGAGAGCCTGTACGATGGTAGCCGGCACCCTTGAGGAAAGGGAGGGCGACCCCGCCCGCGGAAGCCAAACCCCGCATGCAAGCCTGGGCCAAACTGCAGCGCCGCCCTGGCAATGGGAACGTCGTCGCGTCAAAACGCACATGCGACGGTGGGCGGACTAAAGGTGTCCATGCGTGTCTCGCCAACACCTTCAGTCATCAAAGCACGTCGGACCAAAAGGAATACCACACATTCCCTACAGTCAAAGATAACGGGGCTGGGAGGTAGGCCAAAGGCCAGGGACAAAAAGTGGGCACTTCAACTTTGGGCTTGGGGAAGGGGTGCGAAGCAAGGTCATTGCGCAATTGTTGTTGTTGTTGCTGCTGCTGTAGTTGTCGCTGATGTTGTTGTTGTTGCTGCTGTTGTTGTTGCTGTTTGCTTTTGTTTGTGTTGTTGTGTTTTATGTTGTTGCTGTTGTTGCTGCTGTTGTTGCTGGTGTTAAAATTGTTGTAGTTGTAGTTGTAGTTGTAGTTGATGTCAATGTTGTTGTTGTTGTTGCTGTTGTTCTTCTTGTTGTAACAACTGTTACCGCACTGGGCGTGGACACTTTTTGTTTGGGCACCTTGAAGAAGAGGGAAACACGGAGAAGGGGAGCTGCAAAGCCAAAGAACGCGCAACAAACAATCCGATCGTGCCCTTGATAGAGCGGCCACCTCAGAGCAAGTCCGTCGACCAAGATCCCCACGGACGATCGATGGTTGTCCTAACCGCGTGGCCGACTGCACGCCGTAAGTCGTACCTAAGGTAAGACGAAGCTAGGGTGAGGAGAACACTGGGTGAAGATAAATCGGGAATCGCTGAGATCCAGCGGCTCTGGAGGATGTCTCGGGCGCCGTGACCTTCTCAGAGCGCTCCGGAACGCTCTGAGAGCGTTCGGAACGCATTTATCCTCGTCCTAGCCCCGTCCGGCAAGACCTAACATATTGTCAACATCTGGGTCGCCGCAGGCGCCGAAGCGAAGTCGGAGATGGAATCGTAGTCGGTGTCGCAGCTGGAGTCGGAGCCGGAGTCGGAAGCATGGTTCAAGGCGCATGTGCTGGTAGTGGCAGTGTTATCGGTCGTAGCTGTGGTTGTGGTGGAGGTTGGGGTCTGTTGACGGCTATGGCGGCGGGAATGGTGGTGTGACTGGTCGTGTTGGTCAGGATGGGAGGTGGTGGATGCTCATGGTCGCAACTGGTCGGTGAGTAGCCGCTGGTATCGTCTGTGAGGCTGTCCCTACCGCTTCTGTTCGAGCAGGCGGCCTTCCTTGTGATGCCGTCCGCGTCGCGCTTCGGAACACGGACAGGATGATAGTTACATAATCGGCATTAAGCACGGCTCCCGAGTAGTCCTCGTCCCCCTGGGTGCCAAGGCGAGCGAGGGAGTTTCGGCCACGTTCGCAGGACAGCCCTCCACATGTGTAGGCCATTCGTGGAGTTGTGGCGTGGCCTGGGTTCACGCAGTACACCCACAGAACGGTCCCACACCCAGGGCTTACGGTGGCAACCTGAACGGTCCCCTGCGTAGGCGTAGGAGCAGGAATCGGGGCTGGGACAGGCGTCGGTCGGGGAGTCGAAGCAGGAATCAGAACAATTGTTGGATTCAGGGTTGGGGTCGAAGCCAGAGCAGGTGTCGGAAGGAAAGTCGGAGCTGGAGTGAGGAAGCTCGTAAACTTCGTCGCGCTGATGGGTGACGGTGTGCCCGTACCCGTGGCTGTCGGAGTCGTGCTGTTGCGTCTCGAACGTAGAGAACACTGGCCTGCCACCTGGGGGTGTCGGAGGCGGGATGCTGCCCCCCGTCGAGCGGAAGCGTCCCAAGAGTGTTGATCAGAAGCGCAGCAGTTTGCTCTTCTCTGGTACTTCGCCACCGGGCTCCTGCCGAAGGCGTCCCTTTGCAAGCACTTCGGCTTCGGCACCCCTCCTCTCGGCCTCGCTCTGAGGCTCCGCCGCTTCCTCCCTCCTCTTCTTTGCCTAATTCAAGCTTCGCACGGCCCGCTTAGCTTCGACCGGAAGAGGTGCGCTCTCGACCCGCGGATCAAAAGAGTGTTGATCAGAAGCGCGTAGTTCAAAACTGCCTGGGCGGTTCTGCTGTCGACAGCGGCGGTGCGGGTCCACGAGACGATCGTCCCAGGCGTGCTGCCCACAGGGAGGGAGCGAATGCGCCCCCCCACTGCTTACCGCGAGGCTGCCACCAGAGAAACATGCCGCCTGCCTCCACCTCCTCCTTCCCTACCTCCTTATGTGTTCCTGGGCTTCCTCCTCCTCCTCCTCCTCCTCTGCCTCCTTCTCCCTTTCCCCACCTTCTCGTTTGACTGCTGCTGCAACTCCTCCTTCTCCTCCTCTTGGATTATTGGCGCTGTCCCTTGTCCTCCTCTTACGTGCGCCTTCTCCTCCTGCTCATGCTCCGCCGATTCCAACTCCTCATATCCCGGCTCCTCCTCCTCTGCCTCATCCCCCCCAACTATTCCCCTTCTCCCCCCCCCTCTGCATCCCACACTCCCCCCCCGTTTCCTGCCCCCCATCTTCCCACTCCTCCTCCTCCTCCTCCTCCTCCTCCTCCTCCTCCTCCTCCCCAAAAGAACACATTCATTACATTGCCCATTCTCGACATCCCTTTCCATCGTCCCATCGTCCTCGCGCCCCGTTCCTCTTCGGCCGCCACGCAATGTATACACCCCGAACCCTCGGGTACTCCCAGAGACCACCCAGAACTCCCCAAACACTCCCTCCCTTCTCCACCTGCTCATTCCCTCCTCCTCCTCCTCCTCCTCCTCCTCCTCCTCGTCCTCCTCCTCCTCCTCGTCCTCCTCTTCCTCCTCTTCCTCCTCCTCCTCGTCCTCCTCCTCCTCCTCCTCCTCCTCATCCTCCTTCTCCTCCTCCTCCTCCTCCTCCTCCTCCTCGTATGCTCTTTGCTGTTCCCCCCTGAGGATGCAGCCCGAGAAAAAAAGCCCAGGGACGACCCGCCGCCGTCCCAGGGGACCTTCTGCGCGAAGCGGTCCAGTTGCGCCTGGCTGCTATGGTCCGCCTTCGTCAGCGCGATGCACAGCTGGAAGTCGTCCCTCTTGGCCTTGGGACGGGGGGAAATAGGGGGGAGGGGAGACGAGGAGAGACGAGGAGAGACGAGGGGATGGGGGAACGAGGGGGAGGGGAGACGAGGAGAGAGGGTGGGGAATGAGGTGTCACGGGGGGGGGAACAGGAGGAGCATGAGAAGGCGGTGCGGGAGGAGGAGGAGGAGGAGGAGGAGGAGGAGGAGGAGAAGGAGGAGGACGGGTGGGGGAGGGGTGTCAGGGGGGGAGGGAACGAGGGGGGGGGGCAGGGGGGAGGGGTGTCAGGGGGGTCGTCCCTTTTTGGCCTTGGGGAGGGGGAGACGAGGAGAGAGGGTGGGGAATGAGGTGTCAGGGGGGGGGGGGCAGGAGGAGCATGAGAAGGCGGTGCAGGAGGAAGAGGAGGACGGGTGGAGGGAGCTGGACTGCTGCTGCCAGCTCATCAACCTCTTCGAACCGAACCTCATTCCTGCCAGGGGCCCGCTGAGCGACGATGGGAAACACGTGGAACAAAGAGGCTGTGAACACAAACCTCCGAGCCGAGTCCACTCCACGAGAAAATAGTCCGAACGGAATCCGACAATAGTCAGGGGCTGGCCGCCAGACCGCTACGGCTGCAATTGTAGTGGTTCTGAGACAAGCCGCAAGATCATGGGTTTGGGTATCAAAGCACCCGTAGCAACCGAAAATGCATCCTGCTCCCGGCCCCCGTCTCACGCGGTGAGCGGTGCAACACCCGCCCAGCCAGCTCTTGAGCACGGCTCAGAGCGGCCCAATCGATGCCCCCACCTCCCCACCTCCCACCTCCACACCGAACCACTTCCTGAGACGCTGGGCCAAGTCGGCCACGAATGCGTTTGCCTCAAGCCAGCCAGCGGGCTCAGGAAAGAAGGGCGTTCTGCCGCAGCCGGGCGAAGCGCCTCTGCAGCGCCCCTGCAGCAGCGAGGCGACCCTGTCGTGGATGCCCTCGGCCACCCCGTCCGTGCTTTCCGCCAGGCCCACGAGGGGGCGAAGGGGCAGCTCGGGGATCGCACGTTGAACACCCGCCACCTGCCCCCCTGCCTCGGCGGCCACCGCGGCGAGACAAGCTGCCCCGCCTGCCCTGAGCTTCGGGTGGCCGTCAAAGCCCTTCGGAGCCTCCTCGGGACGCAACGCGATGCAATCGTTCTGCCACTAGGGCAGCGCTGATTTCCGCGTGGAGAGCCATGCGTCCGTAGGCATGGCCTCCTCGATGGCACGCCGCAGACGACAGAGGCCGTCGCACCACCAGTCTGTCGTGAAGAGGGCCCTCCTCGTCAAGGTGGCAGCGCTCGTCGCCTGGACGCTCGGAAAAAACAAGGCCGCCCGACATGCCCGGGCCGAGCCACCCAGCATGGCCGAGCAGGCCGGTAGGGCAACGCCACGCCGACGCGAACAGGTACCTCTCGCGGGTGTCCACGGTGGCGTGGACGTGCCAGCACTGCATCTTGTGTGACATAGTGGGAGGGGCCCGGGGTCCAGTGGGAGAAACACTGATGTCTGCGTGTCAGTTTCAGTCTTCGAGAACCCCTTCACGGCAGCCGACATCAGACTTAGCGAACGTGGGCGACCAGATTTCCTCGAACACCGCGCCTGGTCCGAGCGCGCGCACGAGATAGGCGACCTGGTCGGTAATCGTGAACTCGGCCCAGGCGGTGCATGCGCTAATCAGGACGCGCCTAGTCTGCTCGACCACCAACGGGGAAAAAGGCTCGTGCCAACAGGACAACGACGCACTTCAGAAGTTCCAGCCGCAGCGTGGCAAAGATGACCGCCTACTTGAAGGTGCGGTGAGGAGCTCGTAATCCGCGCTCGCCCATGATGACAGCGCCGACGTCGTCAGGGCATGCCCGGGTTGGAGGATCGCGCCGCATCGCCGATACATCGGCGATGCATCGGCGATGCATCGGTGATGCACTGGCGATGCATCGTCGACGTTGGCGATGCATCGGCACCTTCGGCGTGGAGCACATCGGCCTCCACATCGAACCTCGGCGATGCATCGGCGATGCGGCACGATCCTCCGACCCCATCTGCTCCGACCCCATCCTGAAGGCCCTAGAATGACGACGTCGACGTTGTCAGCGCATGTCCGGGGCGCCCCGTGATCTGGGAACACCATGGTGACGACCATGTCCTCGTGGAGCGGTTATGTCGGGCGTGCCCCCCTACAGGGGGATTTTCGACGAAAAATATAATAATACCCCCCAAATGCCCCAAAAATGCAAAACAAAATCTAAAAAACAGTCCCCAGACTATTTCTGGACTATTTTTGACCATTCTTGGGGTGTTTCTTATTTTTCGTCGAACATCCCCTGTAGGGGGACAGGCCCGACTGAAGGGAACACCATGGTGACGACCATGTCCTCAGTGGCACGGGTGGCTCGCACCCGGGCAGGGAGGGCGCCCGACAGCGGGCAGCCCTGCAGCGCCCCACCCGCCCCTCGTGTCCAGAGGGACGCGCGCGCCGTCTTTGGCAGCACCAACGCTGGGTGATGGGCCCGTCTTCCACCACCACTACCACAGGTAGGACGGGGGAGAAGGGAGGATGGGGAGGTCCTCCTCCTCCTCCTCCTCCTCCTCCTCCTTCTCCCCCTCCTCCCCCTCCTCCCTTCCTCCTCCTCCTCCTCCTCCTCCTCCTCCTCCTCCTCCTCCTCCTCCTCCTCCTCCCTCTCCTACCTCTGGTAGTAAGTGGTAGAACATCGGCCCATCACATGTTGAAAGCGTACGTGTCTTTCACGACGCTGGAAAGGCCAAGGCGGGATGAGCAGCGCGCAGAGGCAGAGCAGGAGCCACTGCTGGATGACGCTCGGGAGCGCATGCTCGAAGCCGAAGCCCATCTGCACGGATTATCACTGGGACGGCGCCGGTGTGTAGCCAACGCGGGGTGCGGCTCTCGCGCTGCCCCTCCCGCGACCAGAGGTCAAGATCGACGACGTTCGCGACGAGCGTGCGGCCTGGAACGAAGCCGTACTGGATCGGCCTCGCCGCCCCTCGTCGGCTGTCCGCGCGGCACAGGCGCATGGGGGGGGGCAAACCGGAGGTCGCGGGGTCGCGCCCTGTTCCGCCCCAGGCTGCCCACCCCCTCCCAGAGGAAGCGTGGTGACGTACTTACTCGCGATGGGCGACAGCGAGGTTGAAGTCGCCAAGCATGAAAATGGCGGCCCGCAGCAGGTCCCCCTGTGCCGCAGCCAGCTGGGTCCTGAGCATCCCCCGAAGCTCCGGCGCAGGCGGCTGGTGATGCCGACTTTGTGGACGTTCCAGACGTGCAGCGTGAAGTCCAAGACTGGGTTGTGTATTGTAACGAGCAGAACCCTGCCGTCGATGATACTCTAGTCCGTGATGACCAGCTGCTGCACCTTCTTGGAGACGAGGGTGAAGACGCCCCCAAGCCTTTCACGACTTGGCCGCAAGCAACAAATCCGCCGATCTGGCGTGTGAGTTTCTGAAAGCGTGGACTTGAGCTCGCTCAAGCTTCGCTCTGCAAGGGGGAGGGGGGGGACGCCATTCCCGACGCCATTCAGTGCTCGGGAGCCGGGGGGGGGGACGCCATTCCCGACGCCAGTCAGTTCTCGGGAGCCGGGGGGGGGAGGTTCCCTTTGCAGGGGGGGGGGGCGCCAACCCCGGTGACATGCAGTGCTCGGGGGCGGGGGGCTTCCTTTCCGACGATCCCACAAACTCCCGGGACTGCGTCAAGACGGCTCGAAAGGCGCCCAACACGACCCCACAACGGCGCAAAGGAACGCCAAAACGGCCCAAGAAGCGCCCAAGCCAGCCCAAGAGGGCTCCACCAGGGCCCCAGGATATGCCCAAGAGGGAGATCCCGAACCGAAAATCAAAGTCTTTCCTTTCACGACTTTCTTCAGAGGCTCCAAGACGCCCCCAGGAGGTCCCAACAGGCCCCCCAAAAGCCAGCAAGATAATCCAGAACGCCCCCAAGAGGCCCGAAACCAAGCCCAAGAGGCCCCAATACGAGCCCCAAGACGCTTCCCGAGGTCCCTTGCTCAATCCCCTGAGCCTCAGTCCTCAAGCCGGAAGATCTCGGACCCCAAACTCTCAAATCTCTTATCAGGATGTCTCAAACGAGGGCTGTACCTTCAGCATACACGGTCATCCATTCCCATCAGCATCGGGAGCGCCCAGGATCGGCGGCACTGGCCGGAGGCCACTACAATATTATGACTGTGACCGGAAAATCACTCCAGTTCCTGGATGCTCACATGTCCACAAACAAATTCTTGAAGCCCGACGATGGCTACACTCTTGCAAATATCGCTGACGATGCCCATCTGTCAACGACTCGCCAGCCACTGCCGGGTTAACCCGACAACTGCACCTCCTTCGCCTGGAACACGCCGCGCATCGCGTCTTCCATCGTGGAGAGGTCGGTCCACGGATCCATGAGAGCGGCGAGGTTCCAGACCATCCGCGGCGGCCCAATGGGGTGGACCACGACCTTTGCCACGGACTGCCAATGCATGCTGACGATTCCCTCCCCTTTGTCCATATGCGCCAGGCGCCCGACGTGGCTGGCAATCGATGCCCTGGCTTTCTTTGTAGCCAACTCCCTCGCGATGTCCCCGCGGTTCTCATCAAGCAACACGTACATTGCGGTGGAGCGGCTGGCGGGGAGGTCCGCCGAAAACTGGCGCCACTGGCCGTTCTGCAGCCGAGTGGCTGGCTGCGCCTGCCCGACACGCTCCTCAGCCGTGCGGAGGAGGCCGGCGAATCGCAGGGCGAATGCTCCCCCCATGCTCGCCCTCGACCTCGCAATGCTCGCCAAACTGGAAATACTGGCTTGCATCCAGTCCCCAGCGCGCGGACCACCTTCTGCTTCGGCACCTCCTCCTTGCAGCGCGCGATGAAGGTGCAGCGGTCCACTTCCCTCTCCCACTCAGCGGTGCGAGCAACAGGGGCGCGGGGCGTGCGACGCGCCAGATCGAGCTCTTGTTCGATCGTCGCCAGACGCTTGGACAGCTCCCGGCAGGTGTCCTCCAGGGTCGC